GCTACCATTCGATTGGTTCACGCGGTTTATAGGCCGAGTTTGCAACACGAGCTGCGAAAAGGCAGCAAAAGTGTGTAGCGGCTAGCGGAGCAGCAGCGAAGACGACGACGGGCGACACGAGCACGCGGCACGAGACACAGAAGGATCAGCCGAAGGAATCGGCACGCACCTCTTGAAGGCGGTTACGAGAGCATTTGTAAATATGTAAATAAATTAAGAAGGCTAAAACCTTTCAAGTCTGTCGATCGTCTGCTAGCGCTTCCGCTTCTCCGCCTGCTTTTCTCCTCGCTACGCGACGTCGACGCATCGCACGCGCCCTTGCGACCAATATCCGCAAGCGACGTCCGCCATTGAGTTTCAAACGCTCCCCATGGTTTAAGATGGACGCTCGCTTCAATCTAGGCTTTCTCTGTTTCATATACTGTTGCCCCGCCATGATCCTGGCGGTTCCACATATACAGCAGCGGAGGTGGACGCGTGTTCTGCTAAAGGTCTCTCTGCAGTTCCCCGCAGTCAGACAGACGGCGGAAACCGAGCAGACGCAAGATGGAACGAAAAGAGCCTAGATCGAAGAAAGACTCCATCTCCAATCCTGTATATAGCGTTTGCAATTTAATGGCCGGCACCTCCTAAGAAGCCTGATCATTCTAAAAGGCGTTCTAGGCACTGTATGCGGAGCGCAAGTTCGTCTGCTTTTTTTTTTTTTTTTTTTTTTTGCAGGGGTTCTGGTGGCGTCAGAACGCCGAGCTCTGATTGGCTCTGATTGGTAGGTAGGCCTCACAGCAAGCTGCCTCGAGGTCTACCCACTATTCTTCAATCAGATCCCATGAGAGCTCAGCGTTTGACGTCACCACAACCCCAGCAAAAGAAGCAGACGAACTTGCGGTCCTCATACCATAAGCTCTGTCGCTGCTGAAAACACGCGCCCTTCAAACCCTTCTGAAAGTACTAAAATAGTAAGGGTTTACTTTTGGCAGGATGACAAACAATGCACGCTAAAAGCAAACATACAAACTCTAAAAAAAAAAAGAAATACGTTCTTGAAAATTTCTCTGACGCCCCAAGAACTCTTTCATCTTGTGAAGAACGGTTTCACCCCAAGCACTATCGCCTCATAGCGTACTAGAAAGGTAGCTGGGTGATGAAGAACTATTTCGCATCACAAAAAGGAGCTTAAAAGAACTCCTTATGGTTTTTTCACGAAGTACCAGCTTAGGGGGTGCTTAAAGGAACTTTGTAGGGTGCAAAATATGGACAAGCCGAAGAACCCCTAAAAGTTATTTTTCGACCAGGTTTTTTAGAGTGTGTAAAATTTCATTAGAGTAAACTTTTTTGTGCTTTTCAGCCTTTTCAGCTCGCCGCAGAACAACATGTTGATTTAAGAATGGTGACCAGGAAGATTTCTTAGGTTACCAAAAAATTATCATTAATTATCAAAGTGATGTTTTCTCGTGCTAGTAAAACCAGAATATAAACGGCACAATAACTAGAGCATGGTACAGATTAAAAAACCCAGGTTAGCAGTCATAACGTATACTGACCTGATTTTCCATGTACACAAGAAACACCCGACGCCATCTTAAAGCAGACTAACTTCCATCTGACTTTACTTGGAGAATAGTGGCTACTTGAGATGGGGTCAAACCACAGAATTTTTTTAATCGGACAGCAGATTTGCACAGACATGGCCTCATTCTTGGAAAAATCTACAAAAGAAAAGTTGCTTTAAAAAAAGAAAAAGAAAATAATTTTTATGGTTCAAGAGTTATTTCCTTTTATTGAATATTTCAAATTTACATAAAAACAAGCTTTCTAAGCAAACCTACATGATGTTTCGAGGCGTCGATGTGTACACACACACACGTGTGTGTGTGTGTATGTGTGTTTTGTAAGGTGTGTTATTTACATTTACACCAAAGGAGAAATGAACTGCTTTCTCAGGCATCAACAAATTTGAAATCTGATTTTCACTCCAATACTGCTTTTACAATAAGGTCTGAAATTCATAAACCCCAAAATACGTCACTGGTTCAAACTTGCCGTGCCAATGTTTGCAAAGATACTTCGTTCTTCCTATGCGCCAAGAAACTGAGGAAGAAGAGGAGACGAGAGTCCGCGGAAACTTCAGAACGTCGAGATCTATAGTTCGAATGACTAGTGGGTAGACCTACATCTAGCTGCCTTTGTATCCCTCTGCCATAGCCTCCTCTATACTGACAAAGCCTGGCAGATCGCCACGAGAAGCGGCCGCCGAAATAAAAAAGGTGGTGTGGCAGACAACGGATGAAAGGAGAGCCACGTGACTGGCGCACCCCTGCGGCGAGATGCCGAAACACACTCCTCCCGAGCGAACAAGTGTGTTTCGGGTCCTCGCCGCTGCAAAAGCTGTGCGCTGACGTTCAGGTTCCCCGATAAATGGCTCTTTGATGCTCTGTGCTACGAGATTCTCGCGCTCCAAATCTGCGATCGAGCACTCTGTGGCTCCCTCGTCGAAATGCCAGGCCTTGTGAGTATAGAGGAGGCTATGGCAGTGTGAGACAAAGGCTGCTTTTGTCTCGACTGGACTCGTCGAACGCGTTTGAATGCCAAAGCCAAATGCCGGACGCCCACGTTCTGCGTACTAAAGCGTTCATTGAGGGCAGTGGAGACAAAGTCAGCTAGCTTTGGGTCTACCTGCAGATCACTCCAACCAGAGCTCGGCGTCCTGACGTCGGCGCATACACTCGTGAAAACAATAAAAATTCAAAATTTTTTTTAAAAATAAATATGAAACTTATATATGTATAAAAAGACTTAATGCATCCACGCAAGACCAGATAATCCGAGATACCGCTCAATAAACGCAAGGCTCTTCCTTCGGTCCCGACATTTGCCAGAATGTCGCGACTACCCGGTGACGAGAAGTCGCGAAATCATTGTCCAAATTACAAATTCCGATAGGCGTGAGGGAACTCGATCAAACTTCGGTTCCGCCCACGACAAACCGACCCGGCAATCTGTGTGTTGTTATGTCCGACGGTGATTGCAATCCTTCTCTTTCGCTCTCCTCGCACCATTCGACGTGGTACGAGTTCGCTTGCTTTCTATTCTATGCTCAGTTTACCCCTGCGATGGACCGCCGCGGAAGCTAGGAGCCATTCCAGCCAATTGTGCGCTGTAATCCTGTCACGTGACAATGAGCCGACCGCGTCGCTATGCCTCTCTTTAGCTTCACGTGATGCTCAAACAACACGGAACGGGCAACTATGGCTGGAATAGGCTCCTCTTTGGTCCATCGTAGCGTGAGGCCAGGTAGGGAATCGGTTCACAACTTCATCAATGTTTATGTGCTTCTTTCTTCATTTATTGTGTGCGTGCGCATAGGCGCCAACAACCCCCCCCCCCCCCCCCCCCCAAAAAAAAAAGAAGAAAAAAAGAAAAAAACATCGGTTGTTTGCACGTTTCGCACACGGAGGTATTGTTTCGTTGCTGCGGTACGCGACAGCAATCATTTGTGGATTCCAATCCTCCCGCCGCTTCGATCTGTTCTTTATTTTGTGTACAGCCTTAAATTTTCTCGTGTTTTTTTATTTCCTTGTAAATGTCGAATTTTTCGAGGTGTTTTTAATCTTCGGCGCGCCTTCTGCCCAAAAAGAAAGCTCCCGACTCTCTTTCCCTCAAACGCGTCCCTGGCATGCTTCTTTTAAAGTTTCTACTTGCCTAAGCCTAACGTTGACCTGTGAAATCGGCTAGCTGAACAGAATAGAACAAAATACGCTCACGAAATATCTTACACTCACACCGCTGAATGCGTCATTTTTGCGACATTTAACTCTGTTCTGTTCAGCCGGCCATTTCCACGAGTAATAAACCAACCTGCTCGGCTTATGCCCGTAACTAACATTGACCGTTGACCGTACAGATCCTGAGCAAACAAAGATTTGAATGACTAGCTGTTTTCACTCGCAGCAGTTGCGATCGGCATGCACGGCGCAGCGCCTAGTTTTTGAAAATCAAAGCACGCCTACAAGGCTTCCATTCAGTCGAGTACGGTCAATGTACCGCCAGAGGAAGCAATTCCGTTAAACCCTCGTGCGTATCTCCATTGCTAAGTAACCCAGACGCGACTGAGCAAACATCTCTATCGGCTGTTGCACGAGGCTGTTTTGCAACGTTTCGTTCGCATTGAAATTTGAGAGGATGGAGAAGAAACAGCAACTAAGCGGTTCTCTGCTACTACGCTAAAAATACAGTAGAACTCCAATCTCTTTATATTTTTATGTTTACTTTTATTATTGGTACGCTCGGTGTCCCTATCAATTCACGCAACTCAAACAAGAGGCAAAAAACGGGGAAAGCGGAGTTACGCGAGGTTCGGGGACCAATCGTGTTTATTGTGACACCAGGCAGCTTAGCACCCCGAAGATGTGGCTGATCCCCCGCAGGCTTCTTTTAAACCTAGTGATCACTCATCCGTTGTTTGTCCTTTTGCTTTTTTCCTTTGTGCAACCCGTCAGTATTCGCGACTTCAGCGTAACGAACGGCACATTGTGTGAAAAAGTTGAACCTGTCGCAACAGGGACTTTCCCGATTTCTTTTTGACTCTTGCGGCTTCCCTAATTGCGTTTTAGCGGCGGCTGACTCGATAGTCGCTCAAGTAAAGCGAGACAAGGTGCGTTGCTTTTGTCCAAAGCTACGAATACGGCAGCAGCAGAGAGACTCATGACTCATAATGATCTAAGAAATTAGGTGTGACTTGCGTTGCTTCTAATGTTGTGTAGGGCGATGACTTGTCCCGGTGACTTTGTTGTCACCGTCGTATCACAGTGTTGCCTAGATCGCTAGGAACGCAACATACGCAACCGTGCAAACCGGACATTTTGCGTTTCTTAACGCGAGGACAGTAGGTAGTCCTTCTACCGCTTAGTGGTAGAGCGACTATTTACACTCCTGGAAGTCGCGTTTCATGTATACCGTGCGTACTTTATCAGCACTCGATGTTTTCGTTCGTCTGGTCCCAGGGTGGACTCTAGCTGGTCAAGACCTGTCCCCGTGAACGGGGAGCCCAAGCCCGGTGGAGTGCACCGGCAGTCGGACCTCGCCCTCACCAGTCAGCTACTGGAGACGCTTCTGGACAATTATGACAGCACACAAAGGCCTTGGCATGGCGGTACGTGCACGACCGTGCTTGCAAGCGATCGTTCCATCGCATGCAGATACGACGTACTGTTACCATGGGTGCTCTGTGTGACGCGGAGAACGTCATAGAGGCTTGAACATGGCTGTTGTTTCAGGCATATGAAGGGGCGGAATAAATTTAACCCTTGGAGGACTTCGGACACCCTTGCAAAAAGAGTTTTCAATCACCAATCGAGCTAACAAGCCACCGATCAATGATTCAGTAAACCACCAAAGATGTTGGATTCGTGCACGCGGGCATTAGTTAATGAATGTGGTAATAAAATAGTACACAGTAAATGTTTGTGATGGTAGCCTATGGTAGAGCCTTAAGGTGAGTTAACATATGCTTAAAGAACAAGAAGAGCGGCAACCATGGCAACAAAATGAGTTCACAATATGGTTCAATATCGTTTAACCCCACGTGAGACCCGTGAATATTTTCTTTGAAATAATGTCGTGTTCACTTTTTTTTGTATTTTGCAAGTCCATTTTATTCATTGTTGTGTGTGGCCGATATCTAGTTGGCATTTTCGGTCCAGTGTTTGCTTTCCTTCCTTTTTTTAAATATTTTTTCTTCCTGTTTTGCATTAGTGGACTTCTTTGCTTTCTATAATCTTTGCTTTGTACAATTTTTGACACCGCTGTGTTCCTGTGAGGGGCTGGGGACCAGTCAAGCTCCTTGTAAGCTTTTTTTCCCAGCTCCCACCATATATACATGTATATGGTAAATAAACTATTATTATTATTATTATTCCCTAATATGGTCAACATCATAATCAATATGGAATTAGCATTTTCGTCTTTGCTTTATATTTTGGTCCTCAACAGGTTTCAATAGCTCGACAACGTGGTTTTTTTTTTACTAGGTTAAGACCTAAAAGTATGAGCTTGACTGGAATCTTACCCGGGCTTTTAAAATGCGTTTTCCCTCAATATTTGCGTTGATCATAGCAAGAAGGGTCGGAGATTCTTTTAAAGAAAACTAGAAAAACGGTTTTCAATTATTCGCCAAAAAGTAATTTATTTATTTAATTTTGATGAAAGTTAAGTATATGCTTAACTCTTTCTTTGTATTAAAACAGAACTCCTATGATATTCTTGGGCTTCGTAAATACCTCGCTGTGTCACAATTGCATGCTATAATAAAGCAATGTTTACTCTATCGCGTGCAGTTCGACCAACCAGCGTCACCGCCAACATGCTGATAAGGAGCATGGGCCCCATTTCGGAGCTTGACATGGTAAATATAATTTCGTTCATTACGTACCCCTAAAAGCGCTCTAGTATAAAAAAAGGTAAATGAGATCAATTAAGGTCTAGTACGATTATGACGGTTTCTTTCCCGAAAACGCAGAAATCAAAACAAACATTCAACGTAGATGAACGTTTACGTTATCTTTTTGTAAATAATGAATTACACAATGTTTTTTACTTAAAATTTTATAAGAAGAAAGAAAGGAACTACAGTAAATACAGAAGCCCGCGTGTCAAAATTATTCAGCAACAACAGCTAAAGCGTTGGTAGCACTAATTAAAAAAAATTTCAAAACAAAGATAATTTTTTTTTATTTTTTTTATTTTATAAATGACAACCCCTTCAATTCAAGTCACCATCGGCAATTTATTTTTGTTTTTAGTAGCTTCCAATCGACTCTTGAAACATCTTTCGTCTTGTCCTTATATAGGGGAAAGGGGGGGAAGAGGTCAATTCCGAGGGATTGTTGATACTTTCGGGTTATGCTACATAGTATAAAAAGCAACAAAAACTTCAGGCCAGTTTCCGTCTAAAAATATTTTCGATCCACAGCTTCTCATTTTTTGCATCATCACTCCGTGACATAAAACAATTGTTCAACGTCCTTTCCATCACACTAGGCTGCCTGGAACGCGTCTCCGACGGGTATGTTTAACGTCCGGTTCCACACGTGCATCCAAAGTGGTCTCGATTTGGTCTACAAACGGCGTCACAAACGCCAGAATGTCATGCTGTTCAATGTCGCGATTCTGGCGGTTGGGCTTAGATGTCTTGAAAAAAAAAAAAAAAAAAAGCACGAGGGAGCACTAGTGTGTCTGTCGTCACGGCGTTTCGACTCCGGCTGCGAAACTTGCGTGGACTGTGAAGCTTGAGAGCGACCTAGGTCGGAACATACGTCTGTCGCTTCCACCGCCTCTGCTGTGACACCGCCAGGGTCGCTGACGCCGACAGTGGGACACTTCTATCACGTCGTCGGGCGGAAATCGTTGGACCACTTTTTCGGAACGCGGTAAACACACCAGTTGGAGACGCGTTCCAGGCACCATAATGGCACTGCAGGAGTACTCGATGGACTGCTACTTCCGGCAGCGGTGGACGGACCAGAGGCTCAAGTTCAACGGCACCATCAACCCCATCAGCCTGCACATCAAGATGCTCGAGCGCATCTGGAAGCCAGACACGTACTTCATCAACGGCAAGGGCTCCTACCTACACACCATCACGCAGCCCAACAAGCTGCTGCGCATCTACCGCAACGGAGACGTGCTCTACTCCATGAGGTACGGTAGCAGACCAGGCGACACAAGATGCTCAAGAGACATTTTGCTGAACGAATGTAACACCGAGGAACCTAGTTTAAAGGAAAGTTGAAGCACGTTTCAAAGAATCTGTGTTAGAAGTAAACTTTAGTGACTTTTTGCCTCGTGAATTCAGGTATCCCACTTATCTTGGGCAAAAGTAAACGTAAACCGCATTTATGCTAAAAAATACGTGCAGTGATTGTTGCAAATAATGCGGCAAGCTTATCTGCCGCCTGCTATCTGTCCTAAGCATGTTACGTCATTGTTAGCATGCCCGAGTGAGCTTGGCAGCGAGCAACGTATAGATTACTTCAGTTTTGAAACTCCCATAGAGTAATATAGTATAACGTAAAGAATTGTCATTCCTATAGACCCCAGCGGCTCACTTTACTATCAGCGCACCTAGCGGCTGTTGTGAATGTGATCTCGGTTTCGTATTTAGGCACTTCCGTTCTCTTTATGGCTAGAGACATAGATGGTTGATATTTGAATGGGTGCACAACTAATATTATTGATTCCGTTCGTAGTAGGCGGTAGCTTGCGCCACCTAGTCTGACGTGACTAACTTCAATTTCAAATTTCTGTAGTAATCAGTTGCTTAAATGCACGCGTAAATTTTAAATTTCAGAGCAGACCATGCCCAATATGCAATATAAATTTAAAACCGCTCCACTCGTCATAAAAAAATAAGCAACAATCGAACAAGATAATTGAGTAATGCACAAATATTTATTGTGACCAAAAAGACAACCATAACACAAGTAAGTAAATGCTCTGCAGGCGCCCGTAGAACTTTCTAAATTTACCGGGTAAGTCACCGCAAGTAAAATTCACCACAAGCGCGATCAAAGGAAGAGCTTCGAGATCGAGCTCGGTGCTTCAAACGAACCTGTAATGAACGCACGCTGGTGAAGTGAAAGCGTCGTTCAAGACAACACTTTCGTGTTTGCAGCGTCAGCTCGCGTGAATTTATGGGATACAGAAAATAGCTTTTCGGCGAAGCAGCTGACGCTCAAAAAACGCCTGAAACACTCTCAACCTGGTTGCGCTTTAAGCGTCTTGCCTTTGCCACAAAGAAAGAATGTCGATAAATCCACACGATGACACCAACAGCACGATGCATTCACCCCTCGCCACCTTGGCTGCTGTTATGGCCTTGTTGCGGCTGCCAAGTCGTGCCTTGCCAAAGCCCCAGTCGCAGTCGTTGCAACATTTTTTTTTCTTAAAACTTTTGAAGCCACTAATAGTTTTAGAAACATGTAAATTAGAGTTGAACAATTTCTTAATTGTACAAATATGACGAGTGCTTGAATAATTAGGCGTCACTGCGCCAGCCAGCGTGGGGTCGCTATAGGTTATAAAGGAAATTTACATTTTTCCAGTAACGAGCGTCGTCCACGGAGTTGTCTTCGAACTACAAATGAGGGGCAGCCCAACTTGCCTCTGCCCTCAAAATACATTGGCATGATGCTGTTGTATTGATCTTCGTTGACCTTTATAACCCATACTAGCGTATACTCAAACAAGACAGGCTAAAATAGACGAAATACGCGCAAAGATAGCTGCTGTAGCGCAGAATATGTTGGTCAACCGGAACTCTATACCAGCAAACATGACGACAACGTGAAACAAGGCCAAAAGAAGGGGAATACGCATGCGCAGAAGCTTTCTGGAAAAAGTTTCATTATTTACGTATCTCTTACTCTATGGGACTCCCGTCACCCCCCCCCCCCCCCCCCCCTTTCCTTTCACTAACTTTAGTTGACCTCCCGCCGATTGAAGCGCCATTTAGATTTTTGTTTCAAAACTGTGTGTTCCATACCATGGGGTACGGGGGAACGCCATCTAGAGGATGGGCTTGAAAACGTACGTATTTGATCACACCGCAGTTACTATAGACCAGTGTCTGCTATGTTTAGTGGGCGCCGCCATGTTTGTTGTTGCTGCTGCGCTTTTTGCGAAATTCGTTTTTTTTTTTTCCTTTTTTGTTTAAAACGTTTGCACATGCCATAGTGCAAGAACGTCAAAAATGCATAGGGAGGCAGCCCCAGGAACAATGCTGATGTCAAGAGTGTTGTAAAAAGCAAAAAAAAAATCTTGGTTTTATGCGCAGCCCCTCTTTTCGCAAGAGCCCGCGTTTGAGATTATTATTTCCCGTTTTTAACGTTAGGGCTAGGATTTCGGACACTGGTCTATAGCAGCTGTCTGGTGCGTCGGATGACGGGAGGAGAGCCGTGGTAAGAGAACCGGTGTACTCCTTGTGCAAGCAGCGTCTATGAGCAGTTCCGTAACTGAGCTAACGTTGCTAGCGAGAAAAAGTCATCTGAGCTCACCGACGAAGTCTCTTGTGCTATTTATTTTTTTTTTTTTTTTTTTGCGCTCTCGCTTTTCTTTAAGGTCGGCGCGCGCAACGGGCGAGGCTACGTCGATACCTTAATGGACTGTTACGACTCTCCTGCTAATAAATTCTGAAGAAAACTTAAGAAACATACTTTTTAATGGGCTTACAATTAAAACGTTTATAGTTTTCCTCTCGTTTTTCAAAGGCAAATATTTTTTTGCTCTCCTTGAACAAGATTTCAAACTACGACAAGATTCAACTGTAGAAAATGCAGGAAAAAAACTTCTAAGAGCAAAGAAAGACAGACATGAAAAAGGCGTACGAAAAAAGAATTGTCTGTGCCCCCTTCGTGTTGGTCACTGTTTGTGCTTACAAGCTTCCTTGATACCAAGGAAGATGGTGTGTTTCCAGCACGTGGTTACCCTCTGTGTATAAAGTTCTCGAAGTAAAGGCCCCTTCATTTGTCAAGTGGTGATGTATGCACGTGCAAAGCGCTAATTGCTCTAGATCGGTACTTCTATATATATATATTACTTCCACAAACGCCAGCACATACATCACGTGCATCTGCGAACCTAGTATGGGATGCCAATAGACTGATCTCACCAGCCAGTTTGACTACGCCACCGCTACCGCAATGCATCGAGGGAATTTGAGTCTTTCTGCACGTGCAGCAACCTCGCTGGAGCTCTGCGCGTGTAGAACATGATGCGGCACGAGCCGTCTCGTGCACTGCTGCCTGCCTCCTGCGAACTAAAGTTATGGCGGCATCACGCATGCGCCGCACGCTTGGTGAGATTGGTCTTTTATTCGTTAGAAAGTTTATTGCGTAGTCAGCTATATGTTAGCGTTTCCTCGACAAAGTAACCCAGGTAAATCTAGACAGCCGTAAACATTGAACACATTCGGAATAGCGTGTTCACACACCCCCTCTTTGACCCTAAACAAAACGCTGTCTAAACTATGCTTCATTGGCACGATCATTGTGGCAATTGTTCCATGATCATTGTTGTTTTATCGCAATTAAATGTCTGTATTCGGTTTTAGCGCACTTCCTCTCTTCGTTTGTCTAGCCACTCTGGCACACGTTCACGCACCTTGCTAAACTTTGGCCAGAAAACGTATTTGTTGCGTTGGAGTTCCACTTCCTTAAGACGGAGTAAATTGCGTAAACCTACAAAAAAAAATGTTCCCTGCTTCGAAAGGCCCTACAGAATACTCTCTACAGTTATGCAAAACATTAATGGCATTCCGAAGATTCTTGTCTCGTTTACAATCTTATTTTGCGTCAGTTTGTCTTATTAAAGGTCAGTATATTTTATAACCCCATGAAACTATCACTGACTACCCTCTTCCAAAAATACATTTCAGTTTCTGAGAACACTCTGAACTTCTATCTAGCTTTTAGATAATGAGAGCAGGCTACTGAATGGGGGCATCAAACAAGTTGCGCAAATACACAATAACGAAAAGACGGTGAGAGTGCAGGCGAGCTGGTGGTAGCTAATCATGTCGTATTACACCTGAGACTGCGGTGGAAGAAATCGGAAGAACTTTCAGTAGAAGGAATAGACACAGAGAACGTCTCAAATGAGACGTTCTCTGTGTCTGTTCCTTCTACTGAAAGTTCTTCCGATTTCTTCCACCGCAGTCTCAGGTGTAATACGACACAATAACGACCAGCGTTTTCCGTTCTTTCATTCCCATTTCATATCTATTTCATGTACACTCGCAGCCAGCTACTTGAAAGGCGTATCCGTTATGGGCGGCAAAAAAATGAAACTTTCAACCTGTAATTTTTTTTATTTAATTATTTTTTATTTGTACATACCGCCAGCCGCCTTTCGGCAGCCAAGGCAGGAGTGGGCAAAAACAGGTACACAAAAAAACACGATAACCTAGCACACACCAATCATGCATGACAAATCATCGGCGATCAATGGTAAAAACATAGAGGGGAGGCGAAACGAGAATGTGTGACGGTTACGCTTATATTTTAAATGTCTTTTATTGGCATGGCGATGGGCCAAACAATGTTTTCGCCAATGCTGGAAATGACAAAAATTCAAGATGGCGGCGCCCTTGTTAAAAAGCTTTATAGCCTAACTTGCATAACGATTATCTAGCAGTCTCCTAAAACTTTCAAAGAAAACTTGAAACAAGACTCCGAAGGTAAGGCAAAACCAACGTTCGACTTCCCTTTATGCCTTATACCATTCTCCGACTAACTCCCAAGATTAGAACCTAGACGTGAAAAAGAAAGGTAAGTTTTCGACTTTTTTTGCGTTTTTATTTTACTATTTCGTATCGAAATACCTTTTTGATGCTTTTATTTCGGAACGTTTGAAAATGAGAACCTCAACTGAAAGGGGCTGTTGATACGCTATCTTTTTTCGACGCTCGACTGAAAACACTGAAAGGTGACTTTACTTGGCATTGCCGTCACGTTTCTTGGTGTTTCCCTCCAGCGGCTGACCGCGGAAATCCGTGCGGACTTTCCGTGACTGACTGCTAAGTAGACTGTACTGATCGCGGTATAAGTGGGTTTTCTTTTTACTTTTTTTCGATACACGCACACACTGCCACAGTGAATAGCCTCATAGGCTGCTATTTAGTGTGTTATGCGTATAGTTATTTCTGTTTCCTTTACGTCATGCATAAAATTGTGCTTTATTGCGCTAGATACAATTACGGATGGAACCAATGAGAGAAACAGGAGAAAATAGTTTGAAAGTTATTTCCTCTTAAGAATCTATATAATTGTTGCTGCTTTTTGCAGTCACCCCCGTGAATCTCATCAAGCAATGAAATTCTGGTATTAGTCAAAACAAAATTTTGGCGGTTCGAATGCAATGACATTCTCATCATAATGTCGGCGAAACAAAAATCAAAATCGGTTGTAGTGATATTGGCGGAGCGTCGTGTAATATACCTTAATAACAACGGTTTTAAGCGTTTCACAAAGAAGCTCGTGGGCGTCTTTAAGCTTACCCTTCAAGCTAGTTAGCGCGTTTATTCTTGAACGTGTGAAGTAAATTTTAATTACTTTCTTGTTTATTGACAAAGGCTAGCAGGCAATTTTCATTTTCTATCATAACTTTCGCGAGGGCCTTGGTCGTTGGAATGGGCTGGGAAAGAACATTGAAAAGGAGCAATCTCGTTAATTGACGAGTCCTTTATTCAACCCTAATACCTAAATGAGTTTGATGGAGAGAGAGAGAGAGCGTTTTCAGGCGTGCTCGAACAGGTGAACAGGTGGACGCGCGGACACAAAAGAAAATAATCAACAACGCGTTATCGTCCATATTGGGCCCGGAACCCATCAGGCACGGCGCCTATACTTGACAGCTCCTCGCTTTTGTTTCTTATTGAATAGTTGAGTCGCAAAAATTTAGTTTACTTTTGTTTTTCTTTTTTTTTTTTTTACTTCCTTTCATTTGGCGGGATGAACGCTGCTTAAAAATAATATAGATGTGTTAATCATCTAGGCTTTAAATATGCAATTTTAGCATGGCGAATATTCATTTTTTATTATTATTATTTCTACGGTGTTCGCTTTTTTATATATCTCACCAAAAAAGTTAACTGGAGACGGCTCCATCTTTACATTTACAAATTATATTGATTAAGTTTGTATTTCTATTTATTGGGAGCCGCTTATAAATGAATATTTTGATTTGATGATTGATTGATTGATTTCATAGGGACTTATTACTTCTTAATTGTTATTTTTTATCTACTCTAAATTAGTACAGTAATGATAGGCATCGTATCTAAGCACCCGGGAATCTCATCTTAGATGGGGTGATTGCGTGCAAATACATTTATTTTCACATGTCGAAGCCTAAAGTGCAAAGTTCGAAGTTTATAGATGGTCAGAAACTCTATCATTACACTGGCATCCTCTTCCTTTTTATTTTCCTCTTTATCAATAAAATAAGATTGAACTTAATGGCATTAACTCGTGAGCAGAACGAATCGCAACTATTTTCGTGAGAGTGTAAGTGAACAAGTTCAAGAAAAGGGAGAAAAAACTGAAAAAAAAAAAATCCCCACTCATCCTTGCATTGAAGACCGGCGCGGAGGGGTTTAAACCCTATAGTCAGCAATCCCAGAGTTACATCTTAACGAGACGTCTGTATCTCTATATACTCGTTTTGTTTGTCTGTGTGTATAATTACTACACGGCAAAAAAAAAACACATCACGGGATGTCGTCGTGTGTTATTAGTGCGCTCTAGTTGTCCGTCTGTTCGCCGACATGAGTCTCTTGTGCCCAGGTTGACGATCAAAGCCAGGTGTCCGATGCAGCTGCAGAGCTTTCCAATGGATCGACAGTCCTGCCCACTGACCTTCGGCAGCTGTACGTGTTCCGACGCACATTCTCTTGTATCTTACGTTCGGAGCAAAATGTTTACTTCAAAGCTAATGCTTACTACGCGCTCCATTATCCATGATAAGGGGGACCGGTGGCCGAGAGGGCTAGCGCACACCAGCTCGGAGCACGTGGAGCGAAAGCTCGCGCTGCGGAACCCAGGGATCCTTGGTTCATTCCCCACCCCTGCCCGCTTCGATCTGGATGAGCATCGTACCAGTGTGCGGTCGTGTATCACTACTGCGTGGTGCACGTTAGAGACCCCAGGCTAGCGGTTGTACTGCACTGCCTAAATTGCTCATCTACAGCTGGGAGACTCGTCGCCCCTGTGAGGCAGACCAAGTTCTAGGCTGTATAAACATACACACAACCCAATTTTTTTTTATCCATGATAAGAACTTTTTTTTCCGCCAATTACAAACTCACGTGGTCACTCCGATGATGCAGTTGTTCCTCTCATTGCGCAAGGCGCACAATAAGCTATCAATCTCTAAAACGCATATATCTTTAATAATAATAATATTATTATTAATAATAATATTTTTTATAACTTGAAAATAAAAAAAAAGATACAATCAGGCCTGCCAAAGCCACATTGGGCTTGTCTGGCAGCGCCTGGCAGCCAGTGAGACGAAACCGCACATATATAGCCAACAATAAATGAAACACAAACAAAACATGCTATTCATTAAACAAAATTAAAAACTAATACTTTTTAATGATTTTTTAAGCTTGTATTTTGTTTTTTATATTAGGAATTTCAGAAGGAAGTTTGTTGAAGATTTCTGGCACGTAATACTTACGCATTTGTTTTCCAAATTTTGTTGAGCATCGGGGTATACAATAAGGGTGTTTGGGTCTAAGATAACGCGACGGAATATACGGGGTTTTAAATTGGCTAGCCCAATAGTGCCTGTGAGTAAGAGTTTCTATCAAAAGCGAGCTGTTTAAGATGTCCTTGTGTATAGAAGTTTATTCTTCGTAATATTCGAAATTTACCTCAGCATGATCAGTTTAACTTGTACCGTAAAGTTTAATTCCTCGCAGAATGGCATTACCGTATTATCTCGAAGATCAATTATAACCTCTTCTTCCCAAAAAGTTGTTGAGCGTCATCGACGGGGACGAATTCCAGCCTGAAATATTTGCCATAATGAACCCAAGCACTGGCTACAGGAATTTCTTCTTGACCACAATACTTAATCACATCTTACCCACGGGAAAAATACTTGGATATTAAAAAAAAAATGGAAATTAGCATCTCCAGGTTAGCTCAAAATGGATGGAAATTAACTTTCATTTTGCGGAACGTATCAGCTACTACGGCCGTAGCAATGTGGGGAAATGTCAAAGGAACCCTGCTTGTCGTGAATGTTTTCATGAAAAACACTGTAGCGACCGAACAAACATTTCTTAAATTTTTACTACCGCATCTTTTCTGGTATAGCGCAGCGCTGTTCGCTTCGCTACCTGTTTTTGCAGAAATATGTGCGCTAGTATCACATCCACGTCGAAGAGATTCCGACATATTTCTATCAAAATGATATCGTGGAAAAAAATAAGTCAAGCGTTATGTTTTCCGATGGAGACATATGAAAATCTAAAAGCATAAAATCTTAAAGCGTTATTAACTCGCCAGTTGTATGGAGCAAACGAGAAATTTGGCGAGGCTCCAGTATGGGGGCTTAAGGACACTGTGTAAGATATATATAGGTGTGGACACCGTATGCGTCGATGCTGCCTAGAAAAGTCATCTGCGCGCCTTGGTTGCAAGTAGGGATGTCGCGGAGCACCCTAGGTTCGAAATCGAACGCTTTTTAAATTGTCGAACCGAACTGAGGTTCAAATTTGAAACATTTCGTTATTTTTAAACCATACCGAGGTTCGAATTCGAAAAGTTCGCAATTTTTTAACGCAGTGGAGTTTCGAATTCAAAAAGTTCGAAGCTTTCACGGTTTCTAAAAGTTCGGGTTCGAATGTTTTTTTGTTTTTTTCTTTACTTGAGATTTGAGAAATTCGAGGATTTTGAACTGCTCTTACTTGAAGATCGGGAGATTCAAAAATTTTGTGTTGCTTGGGCTTTGAAGTTTGAAAAATCAAAGGTTTCGAATTTCTTTAAATATGAAGTTTGAACAATTCCAAAATTTCAGATTTCTTTGGTTCTGAAGTTTCAAAACTTCGAAAGTTTCCGATTTCTAAAGTCATAAAGTTCGAAAAAGGCGAAGATTCAGAATTCCTCTCTACATAAAGTTCGGAAAATTTGAAGTTTTCAATTTTCTTTTAGGGCTAAATTCGAAAGAAACAACTTCGAAGATTTCGAAGTTCTTTCAAGTCCAAGTTCGCAAATTTCGAAGTCCGGTTTTAATGTTCCTCTACAGTTTCCGTTTCAAATAACGTTTTCACGTCTCACTGGTTTTCACGAAATCAGGTTTAGAAAAGTTCGGGTTTTAATATTTAGACTGCGCGAAGTTTGTCAGGCAATTAAGTGAGGCGACGAGTATCCCGGATGTGCTGGAATATTTGCCAATGCAGAGTGACGTGTGACCATAGGTCAGTAATTGTGACCTCCAGCCAGGGGAGGGGGGGGGGGGGGATCCTTAACGTGCATCGCGCCATAGTGACCACAGGAACGCACCGTTTTACGATACTCATCCAGTTCGAAACGGCCGGGGGCCGGCAGATGATTGAGGCTCAGAAAAACCTTGAATCGATCTGCAAACTGCCTCCCCACCCCCTTGCGCGCTGGTAGTAATCCAATCGAACGACGCTCGAGCGACGCAGGCATACAGTAAGTTTAGTCTGTAATTGCTCTGGAGGTTTATTTTCCCGGACGGTGGAAACGCCGAGCAAAAAGTACAAAAGCCGACACAACCGAGAGTGTCTTAGTTTCGCTTCGAGCGTGTGCTGCATATGCTCTGTCGGTGTCGATTCATCAAGCTGCCAGGGTCCATATTATGGGCTCAAGATCGAGCATTAGGAGCGAACATCAGCTGGGTGATGACCCGTCGTTTTCGTAAGTAAAATTCAAGCCTTATTTATATGTGAAAAGTACTCATGTGAAAAGTGCTCATGTGAAAAGTACTACAAGATTAATACTGACCGGTGACTTTAATTTACCTCACATAGATTGGGAAGCTTTGACCCCGGGGCACGTGGAGACTTCCAGAGCTGAAATATTGTTGGAAATATTGATTTCTCACAATCTAAGGCAAATTGTGAACGAGGAAACGAGAGTAACTCCTGAGTCCCGGTCACTGTTGGACTTGTTGTTTATATCCCAGAGAGTGGGTGATTACACAATCTCCGTTGAAGAAGGAATATCGGATCACAAGATGATTGCTATGGACATATTGCATAGTATAGGAAATCGTAAGCGACCCTTTGTTCCTATTCCAATCAAAGATTATGTTCAAGCGGATGACACTTCTGTAATTGATTTTTTGGAATGTTCATTTAGCCAGTTCCAGCTTGCCTGCGATTGTGAGTCCGTGGAGGAACTGTGGCAGCGTTTTAAAGGAGTTATAAATCATTGTGTAAACAGATTTATTCCGACTCGCTTTAAAAAAACAAAACAACAAAACCCGTGGATCAATCGTAAGATTATTCACATGAAGCGTAAAATAAATAGATTACGGAAAAGAAAAGATAGTAAAGACCAGATATCTCAGGTCCGTCGTAATTTGAAAACCGTATTAAATGAATCCAGGCAACAGTTCTTTAATCGGAGACTTGGCAACTTCCTGAAAACATCGCCAGAAAAATTTTGGCGTTTTTTTAGTGAGAAGAAAGAAAGCATCGATCATGTTCAAACCGCAACCAAGATGGTTACAGAACGGAAGGAAATAGCAGACTGCTTCAATGAATTTTTTCAGTCTGTTTTTTCGAAAGACAATGGTAATAGCTATGACGGTGGACAATTTAATTCATTCCCGTGCTGCATGGAAGATTTTTCAATAACTCGGGTGGGCGTATTTCAGCAGTTGCTAGAGTTGGATGTAAAGAAGGCTAGTGGGCCTGATGAAATACCGACGGCATTTTTGCAACGATATGCCGAGTGGGTGTCATTTTATCTAGAAGCCATCTTTCAGAAATCTTTGCAAACTCACTCACTACCGCAAGATTGGCGTAGTGCAATCGTAGTACCTATTTTTAAAGGCGGAGTCCGAGCAATCGTGAATAATTATCGCCCCGTGTCTCTTACCTCTGTGTCATGTAAGCTTCTGGAGCACAATATAGCAAAACATATTATTATTTTTCTTGAAGAGAACCAGTTGCTTTACCCGCATCAACACGGGTTTCGAAGCAATCTTTCCACTGTTACGCAGCTAATCGAAACTATTCACGATTTTTCGTTAGCAATAAACGACCAGAGGCAGATAGATGTTATTTGTATAGACTTCGCAAAAGCTTTTGATAAGGTTTCTCATAATAAACTACTCTTCAAACTTCGACAAATCGGTATTAGCTCTACAATATTAGAATGGATTGAGGCTTATTTGATCAATCGCAGGCAGGTGGTGCGTGTTGACGATTGTATGTCTTGTTCGCTGGAGGTGTTTTCTGGTGTCCCACAAGGATCTGTGTTGGGACCCTTATTATTTTTGTTGTACATCAACGATATTGCTAGCATTGTAGAGCCAGGCGTAGAAATGAAGCTTTTTGCCGACGATTGTTTACTTTATTCGGTAGTCACAAATGTGAATGAGCAAATTAAAATCAATCGTAGCCTTCAGGCTTTGAACATGTGGTGTAAAAAGTGGGACATGGAAATTAACTATACTAAATCCACATTTACTCATATAACTAAAAAAAAGAGTGCACTTTGTTTTAGGTATAACATTGGAAATAACTTTTTGAACAATGTAAATAGTTTTAAATATTTAGGAGTGACCATAACCCATGATCTAAACTGGCGAAAACATGTGGAAAACGTGTGCTCTAAGGCTTCAAAGAAATTGTACTTCTTAAGGAAAAAATTGCACAACGCAACAAAGAACGTTAAGTTAATTGCCTACAAAACATTCGTGAGGTCAGTTCTAGAATATGCATCGGCTGTCTGGAGTCCACATCAGAAAGTCTTGAAGTCCAAATTAGAAAGAATTCAAAGATTAGCTGTGCGCTTCGTTTGTGCTAAATATAAATGGACAGATTCGGTTGCATCAATGTTAGACTCATGCGACTTAGATCTACTGGAGACAAGGAGACAAAAACATCGACTGATATTGTTTTTTCAACTCATCCATGGACAAATTAAGATTAACAAGGACAGCTATGTAAAACTACCATGTAAACGAAGTGACCGATTAAATCACAACTTAGCCATTGAGCCGTTCAATGCCCGTGTTGATGTTTTTCGATACTCATTTTTTCCTGATGTGATTGAATCCTGGAATACATTGCCTAGTTATATTGTTGACAGGGAAAATGTTCGTGAATTTGAGAGCCTACTTGACGTGTACTATTGTTGTGAAAGATGTTAGGTAATGTGTTTTGTTGTTTTTCCCTCTCTGTAATGACCCTGACAAGGGTTAACAGTATTTATAAATAAATAAATAAATAAATATGAATCCTGTTTGATGAACAGAAGCGAAACAACAGTTTTACTCCTACAAAAATGTGAACAGGCTAAAAGAAACACGTCCCAGGAACGTGAAGCGAGAAAATAAAAAAAGGCTTTCTATAATGACGTGTTGATCTGGAACAATATTTGAAGTCTTGCCCCATGAGATAATTTATTTCTCAACCTGAAAAAATAATAAATAAATTATTTTCTATTCTGCAGAGAATAAAGATAAGTACTGTCTGTGGTGTTAATTTAAATGCGATACCTCAAAAATCTAGACAAAAAAAATTACCGAGTTAAGGGCGTAATTGCCCATAGATTCATGTTTGGACGTTTCTTCGAAACTCATTATGAATAACAATAATCATATCTTAAGACTCCGCTTACCTACGCTATATTCTTAAAAAGTTTAACATCTCTACCATGAATAACTTCGGCGATAGAGAGGTTCAAATATGGCACAAACGACAGTCGTCTAAAACCCGTCTTTCTTCCTCGCTCCTTCTGGAATTTTTTCCTTCAAAACTAAGCATGCCAGAACATTGAAATAAACGGCATTGTTTGTCGCAACAAATGCGGCACCGCATGTAAAAGTTCGAAAGAAAAAAGATGCGAATGTACCTAGCTGCCTGAATTCAAATAAAATCGCCTGCCGGCCTTTCGAAGTTCGACGAACTTCGAACTTTTATTCTAAAAGGTCGAAGTTCGCCGACCTTTTGACGTTTCAGAATTCGAGAGTTCGAAATTTTTTTAAATTTTCTTGATAAATAGGTTGAAAAGTTCGAAAATTATCGAATTGCTCAGCGTTATAAAGTCGAAAGTTCAAAAAGCGTCGAACGTTTAAATGCAAGAAGGTCGAAAGTTCGAAAAGCATCGATTTTTTAGTGTACCAAGTTCGAAAGTCCGACAATCATTAAATTTTGCAGCGTAATAAGTTCCAAAGTTCGAAAAGAATCGAATTTTTAACGTAGTAAGTTTGTTGGTTCGAAAAAAATTGCATTTCTGAACGTGCCAAGTTTGAAATTTCGAAAAGCGTCGAACTTCTTAGTTGAACAAGTTTGAGAATTCGACTTCCGTCGAATGATTTTATATAGACAGTTTGAACTTTCGAACCGTTCATTCAAACATCGGTTCGAAAACAGTTCGAGGCATCCCTAGTTGCAAGCGCGACGCCACCAGATGACTCTTTGATAAGCGTCTAGTGGTAACCTGTCGCGGGCCCGGTTTGCAATGGTGCTTTATTGTAGACATGTTTGTTTTTAACTTTTTTTTTTAACGCGAGTGCGTTAAGGAGCTGGTGTCCCAGAAAATCTGGCCTCGGCGGCGTGCCGGAAAAGCCGCCGTCGGTGGCGTGAAGCCAGGATCCTGATTGGTGAATAGGGTCATGGCGTCACAGCCCCATCACCTTGCGCGGGAATTTTAAACAACCCACAACACTCACGTGAAACGTGACGTCACGAGTTGAATGAAAGTGGTTGAAAACATGACATGTAATGCGAATTAAAGCTCGCCGCATGTATAAAATAATTTCCCTGTATAAGGGAATTCACTTGTCTTAAAGAAACATTTTAAGAATTTTAGGCGGGATTCAGACCCACGACCCTTCGGTTGCGAGCCAGACACGCTACTGACTATACTCCGTGTCACTAGCTGCGTGCAGTACAGGCGAGGGAGCAAGGGGAAGCACTCGAAAGGCTGGAGGAGAGAAGACAAACCTCCTCTCCTCTCGAACGTCCCTGGCGCTCTTCCTTTCTCATTTCGCCTGGCCATTGCCCTCGCCTGCACTGCACAGAGCTAGTGACAGGGAGAGTCACTACTGTGCAGTGCAGCATCTTTTTTTTTTCGACGCACTTTTTTCGCAGCACTTTTCATCAGCGTGCCCTGTTATGTAGTATTTGGCGCTTTCGCTGGGAGTGTCGTCTTAGACTGCTTCGTCATTGACCCTATTTTCGGGCCTCAACAGCGGCAAGAACAGTTTCATTAACGCGTTAAAGCGTTGTTCTCTGGTCTCTGACGCGAGGTCAGAGCACACGTGCCGAGGGGAAAACGCATGTGCACTGAAACCGTTGCAGCGAAAAACTCATTTATGTGTTGTTTGTTTTGTGCTTTCCTCATTTCCGCTGTCTGGCGTGCGGAGGCGCTGTCGCCATAGACCACTTAGACGTGCCAGGTTCGTCGCATGGCAGCGTTCGCCGTGCGGTGGGTCCCCACCTAGAGATATCTTACACCGTGGTTAAAGCTGAAGTCAAGCCAAGTGCTTTCCTTCTTAGTTTGGGTTGCCCATCAGCGTGAGCTTGTGTCTGTCGCAGACGGCTATACCGTGGACCAGTTAGTGTACAGCTGGGACTCCACTTTCCCGGTAGACCTGATACCAGGACTGGCACTGTCTCAGTTTGACCTCATCAACTACCCCTACAGAAACTCCACGTACGCTTTCAACAACGGTAAGCATCGCCTCTCGCTTCGTTTTTTGTACGTTAAAGATTTTGTAGGAAAGGGTTAAAACCGTAGGTGTTTTCGGTTGGGGGTTGACAGCCCTAGTGAAACAAACCATCTAAATGTGCCCCATATTAGTATACAAGAAACAAACTACAGCTGTGCTTCGACTTATTGATCAAACAAGTAGCAGCATGAGAAACCAAACAAAACACAAATGCAAAGGAATATTCTCCTGTATAAAGTTTAGAAACACTTGGGGGACACTTAAGCTTCCCCTTTAAGAGTGGAACGCGATAGTGTTATCGGGCCTCGATCGCTAAGCCTTCTCATAAAAACACTTGCGCGATTTAGTCGGAATTGTCACGTGCTGCGTGACGTCACACGGGGTTGTGACGTCATGACCTTATTGACACGTTCAATCGAGCGGAAAACTTTTAATAAATTTGGCGGCAAAAGTTTTCGTACATGGGCGGTGTACATAAAGTTTTATTTTTATTTTTCTCTCTCTCTCTCTCTTGGTGTGTTCAACACTTTTCTTAGCTGTACACAACTAGCAGGAACACATGCACTGCTGCCAAGCTCCTGATAAGAAAGTTTTCAGCAATTATGATGGGACAGGCGTGACGATGCCTAAAAATGCGAACTTTCGACCAATTAATCGGGCAAGAAATTAGTAGGCGGTTAACGCGTTGATCCTTTACCCCCCCCCCCCCCCCAAAAAAAAAGTCATCGATTGATTGTACGTGCCTAATTATCTTTTAATCCAGCTCTTTCCCGTGGGGACCTAAAAAATATATGCGCCTGCGTTTTCGTCGAAGTCTGATTTACTATACCATTTTGATAGTGGACACGCTAAAAGTTTTTACACCCTTAATGGGGTAATAAGGCTGCTCCAGAGTACAGCCAGTCCTGCACCATTTCAGCACCCTGAGTTCAAGCACTACATACATTTTAATCATATACTGAGTTGTAGTTGCATGAACACCCTTCATATTTGAAGGGTATGACATGAGTGCGAAGAGGGATGCTGTGGTCGCTGTGCGGGGATACCTTTGATTGGAGGTTACTTTATCGGCTACTTCGAATTCTTATTTGTTGTACCGCGGCTTTTTATTTGGAGATACATTTCTTGAGCTGTGAGATTGTGTGCTTTATGTACAATATTTACGAGAACAAAGCATCATATTTGTAACCATCATCATTGCGGAGGCGCTCACCTGCAAATGAATATACCTTACGATTGTCTACTAAATAAGGCCCTTAAATTGGACGTGATTCACGTCCCGTGGATACTTCACTGCTCTTCACCGTAGTGAAGCGCAGTTCCATGCCCAACTCATGAATGGCGCCAGCGTGTTCTTTCCTCGTGATAGCTCAAAATAACTCGGTCGTGAGCACACGCAAGTGTGCGAACCAGCCTTTACAGTGCTCTTGTACCACCCTACAGGTGTAAACCTTGAGGTAAGCAATTGTACACCCTTTAGAGTGTAAAATGTGTTATTGTGTACTCGGAGCGCGATTCCCGCCGCGACTTCAAGAGCGCCAGGTGGGTCAACCGTGGTCGTTCGTCCCACAGGTCTGTTTTCGGTGTTGCATGTCAACTTCAACCTCCAGCGGCACATGGGCTACTTCCTCATCCAAGTCTACGTCCCATGCGTCCTCATCGTTGTCCTCTCCTGGGTCTCCTTCTGGATCAACAGGGAAGCCACAGCGGACAGGGTTGGCCTCGGTGCGTTGCTATGCCATTGTCCTTTTCGTGAAGTTAGAGCCGCAGAATGCCAGTTTATTTGTTGAACCGACAACGCCCTTTATAATTTTGACTCGCAGAAAAATTATTATGGTACACATATTCAAATGTATAAATACCCAAATACACATAACAATATGCAAATAAATATATATTTGCGTGCATGAAAATATGCACTGAAATACACACAAATATACGGGCCAATGCAGAGAAATAGGCAAGAATTAATCAATTTGGCTATTAAATAAATAACCATAACACGGGAAAGGGAGCATTAATCAGGTTCGTGCAACAAAGATTGAAGAAAACAATTGATTAAAAAGCATCGAAATAATGACTGGATAGTCAATTCTGTTATCCAACTTTACGAAGAAAAACAATAGTCCGCGATTAACATCATCGTCATAACTGCCGCCTCGGTGGCTCCGAGGCGAGAGCGCTGGCCTACGGATCCCCATGTGGCGGGTTCGAATCCCGGCCGAGGTGCCCGCAATCTGACGAAGGCTTATTGCGGAGAAGGCGCCGTGTAACCGAGCTTTCGGTTGCACGTCAAAAGACCACCCAGGTGGTCCAAATTAATCCTCAGTCCTCCGCTGGGGCGTGCCAGATGCCCGTCGTTGGTTTGGCACATAAAACCCTCAAATTTGACTTTGATCGTCATAATTATGTTTTTATTGATGTCCCATACACCGCAAATTATCTCTAATGTGGCCCGAATTATATAACACCGTAACAGGTGTGCGAGGGCGCGCGTTTCCTTTTTAATGTGCGCGTTGTATTTCTGTTCGCATTTTATCATAATAAAATGTTACAATCTGAAAACAAATAAAGAAAGTAGATGAAATTCAGGCATTCGGTCATACTTTCCGCATTCGTTGGAGACCAACCAAATTGGAGGCAAGGGATATAGGGGAGGTTGGCTATGGCGAAGACCAGAAGCATTCGAAGTTCCATCCCATTTTTCGTATTTTACAGTGTTCGGATGGATCAGTCAGTAATGTTGATTCTGAAACGAAGTTTACTTCCAAAGAAAACATGCTATTTTTTGTGTGTCTGTGTGTATGTGGGGGGGGGGGGGGGGCGGTTGTCAAACAATCATGACAATTATAAACGCCACAGTTTTAAGGTTAGACGAAGACCTTTCTTTAAAGACGAATAATTGAAACAAATTAACGTTTGAGTCGTCGCTGGTTTGCACTACCTATTAAAAATTTAGCAAGTACAGTACGACTACTAGCCTGAGGTCTCTAATGTGCATCACGCAGTACTGACTACTAATACACGACCACGCGCCGGTCACGTACGAGATCAAGCTGAATCCCCCGAAGGTTTCAGTTTGACTTTTAATTTTCTTAGGTTTTCGGTTCTTGCAACACCTCCTAGATAACAAAACCGTAGTGCTGATAGAGATGTCGTCATCAGCGAAGACAAACGCTGGTCAAAGGTTGAACACGAAGATTACGTCAGCGTTTAACTCAAACTTGACTCGAAGCCAAGCGCTGACGCAGACGTCGTTTCCAATCTGTGTCCAAGGTTGGCCTTCGTTTGTCACGCAAAAAATGTCAGCACTACGGACTTGTCTTCTGGCGGCGTTGGTTCTTGTGGGTGTAGCCCGAAACAGCCTATTTCCGTTCGAACCCGTCCCATTTAGACCCATTCCCGAATCGACTGTCCCGTTTGATCCCGTCCCGTTTCGACCCATTCTCAAAACGACCTTCCCGTTTGAACCCGTCCCGTTTCGTCCCATTCCCGAAACGCCCTTCTCATTTCGATTCGCCCCGCTCAACTGATACTCGAAAGACCCTTTGCGTTTCGATCCGTTCACTTTCTACCCATTTGTATAAGATCCTGCCCATCCCAACATATTCGCGAAACTTTTAATCGCTCTAACCCTGGTCTGTGCACCATTTCTGCTTAAGAATATATGTTCTGAAATATTATTGCATGCCGATGTATTCCAAAAATATGCACCTCTTTCAAGCAAGCTTCGAAGTAATATATTATTCTTACTTCAACCACTTCTTTTTATTTATCTTGTTCAAGATGATTTCTATAGCGCGCAATCCCGAATCGGTATATGTACACTCTGCGACACCGCTACTAAAAGACGGTCGTGACGTTTTTTTTTTTTTGTTTTTTTTTTAAATTTTACTTCGAATTGGTATTAGCAGGCACCAAATTTGAGAGCTTAGAGTGCTGGCTGGGATGAGTACTTCCAAAGACAGTAATAGTTTTTATGGCAGCCTTTTAATTCTTTCAGATAAACAGCAACATTGCCGATCCCCTGTTCGCGCTGCGTACAATAATGAAGTCTTGCGTACACAAGCACAGTGTGTAAGCTAAAAATAGCTTCGCCATCGCGACGCTATTTTTAGTATACCCAAAGTGCTTGCGTACGTAAATCTAAAACCTCATTTTAGTAATCTTGATATTTTGGAGAGCGATAAATCAGACAAGGTGACAGGCATATGGTTGCGACTTATTTTATTTTACAATTTCAAACACCGAACACTCGCGCACACAGGAAAACATCATAGACCAGAAAATACTTTCGCTTTGTTGAGAAATTCGAACAGGGAAATCGTGCCATCAGGAAGGCGACACTATTCTGATTGTTTACTGACCCCCTTGAGCCCCCTGGCCCGCACGGCACCACTCTTTGCAGGCTGCTGCAACGATACCCTTGCCAAAGCCTCATCCCATTTGATCAAATCGATGAAGCTGTAAATGTTCGGGTGAGCCCTCCCTGTCACCGTGTTTATCTTACGATGCCAAGCCTCCAAGGTTGTTTCGGGAGAGGGAGAAGTGAGGTCAGCAGGAGGACAGACATTGTACACTTGAACTTAATCAACTGTTAACGAACAATACAAATGAACCGACCTAACTGATAACAAACGATATCCGAAGCGGGAACGTTGTTTCGGGATAGGGCGAAACGGGAAGGTCGTTTTGTGCCGGGTCGAAACGAGAAGGTGCAAACGGGAAGGTTGAATTGAGAATGGGTCGAAACGAGAACCATCCGCCATGCGAGACGTGCATTCCTGCGTTGTTTTCAAAGAAACCAGACAAAAACTTGTCTTCTCGTCAAAACACCGCGACTAGGACTCGGCCAAAAGAGTCGGAAAAGGTTTGAAGGTCAGTTTTCATGTCTTTTCTGCCTGCTCGGATCATCCGAGAACGTGGATAGGGCTATGAAAAAGGAAAACCAGGCGCCGTCAGACCATGATTGCTTGTGCGAGAAGAACTTTGGGTTAAGTTCACGGATACTGGTGGTCGTTAGATTTATTTGTTTTGCTCCAACATGAACGCGGGAAAACCGCAAAGTTGTACGGACCACCTGCGGACTACGTCCAGTGCGCCTTTAGTTCGAGCAGCCGCCTGATCACTCGAACTGTCGTCTGCTCTCAAACGTTTCTGCTTGTTGTCGTCCGCTCGTTCAAACGCGCGGACGAGAACAAGTGGAGGACTCAATATACTTTCTTAAGTTTTAAGGTTGGTTGGAATAAATAGGCTCGGAGTAAACAGTAGATACAAATATATGTTGATCATTGTTACCAGTGGCCATCACCGACTTGCTATGCCTGGTTCACTTGGTCCGATTCTGCTGGCGATTTTCAGTATCGACGCCGACATCTAAGCTAGGGCTCACGATTTTGCAGCCCGAGCGACATCATGACTGAAAATAGCGAATAGACTCTCAGCATGCGAAGCAGTCTTAAGAGTCCATTTTGCGATGTCCACGAGGAATGAATCGCCGCAGGTCACATTATTTACGCGAAGTTTTTGGGGTGTAACGAGCCTCGTTACTTTCGCTGAGGCCACCACAGTAGTCAGACATTGCCAGGAAGACGTAGAATTGACCGTTCTAACGCAAAAAAAAAGCACGGAGACTCACACCGACGCCAACAACATCGCACTCCAATGGTTTGTTTACGGGCGACCTCGAGCTTTTTGCCCACTCCATCGCGCATGCGCGGCGCCGGTGGCGGCCGCTAGGGGGCTCCGGTCTGTTTGTAAACATGAGTCAGTCTATAGAGAATTGAGCTTTCATTTGCAAAAAAAAGAAAAAGTGGAGTTATCTTTACGATTCCACAACTATGAGCTGTAACGAATTACAGCTAAAATTTATCTTTCGTAAAAATAAGCGACCGTTACGTTAAAAAAAAAAAAATTAACATTCGGGGGCTTTGTCTTTAACCGTGTGGTAATCTGTTACTGTTGTGGTAAAACAAATAAGAAAAAAAAGGCTCGAGATACACCTCAGCACTTCTTATGAGTTGTGAATGCGAAAGCATGCAAGGCGCTGGTCCGTCCCTTTAGTTCGTCTGCTGCGTACTTCGCGTCGCCGGTCAGCGCGCGCGCTCTCGGCGGACTGACCTTGGACGCTCCGTGTTAGCGGCGCGCTAACGGACACGCAGCGCCATGTGGTCAGCGGCCGTTGAAACTGACGCACAGTGGTCAATAGAAGCCTCGTCGACGCGCCCCAGCCAATGGCGCCGGAGCCGAAAATCCATCAGCTTTACTCCGCTCCTTTGAGATCGGGGAAACTAGATGCCGTTGCCTAGGCTATTCGCGTGGTTTCATAGTTGGAAATTGGCTTCACTTGGAGAAAGGATTTAATACGGAGTTTTAGAATAACGTACGCAATTTTAGCGCACGCTAGCGCTAAATTTAGTGCTTGTATTAGCGCACGCGACGCGAGAGAGTTTCAGAATAGCGCTTCTCCGTCGCGACGCAAAAGCCCAAGCATCTCGCGCTTGCGACGCCACCAAGATACAGTCACAATTTTTATTTCACACACGAAATGCTGTAACTTAAAAAAAAAAAAGAAGTTTTTTGGTCCCGAGTATTATTTTAAATTTGTTTAAACGTGAGAATGCGACGCGAGGGGTTGACTGGTTGTGTCCGCTTGCGTCGCCTCGGCAAGAGAGGTCTTGTGTACTGACCTTCGCTTCGCGCTGAGAAATGTTCGCGCGTCACTA